CGGTGGTTGCTTCTCAACATGCCCCACACTGGCAGTCCTGGAGCCGGGGCTTCTCTTCCATGGCCAAGACCTCAAGTTCAGGTGAGCCTTCCTAAAGACAGGGCGGCTGAGACCGCCTCCTCTCCCTGCAGCTGGTTTGCAAAAGGTGTTCTCCCAGCAGCCTGTGGGTGGACTGGTGGAAGTGGCGTTTCAGAACAGCCTGGGCCTTGTTGTTGGGAGGCTGCGTGGTGACTCGGGCGGCCTATGCCTGCATTCCCCTCCCTGGCTCTTTGAGCCAACTCCAGTTCTGAGACTGCACTTCATGTTTTGCTCTCCTCGCTCATCTCCACTTACCTTTAAGTCTTCCTGTCGTGTATTAGTCACTCAATTAAAGATACTTTCCTGTCCATGTTTCCTTTTGTGCAGGAGCTGGGGAAGCACCCACACTGAGCCCAATTTTACCCATCTGACCTTTGAGTTACTTAAGTGTGCTACTTAGTTTCCAAACACAGCTTTTTCTCCGCAGCTTTCACCTTGATTCCACTTGTTCAGGGAACACTCTACAGGACTCCTCCCCTGACATCCGCAGTCTTGACTGATGGTCTAGCGAAGGCTGACTTCAGTGCTGCCCACTGGAGAGGAGGGCCGCGTGGGCACACCTGAGCTCGCACCTGCACTCGCACCTGCGCTCCCTCGCCCACGTATTTGACACCTTCGCAGATTTTCACATGCTGTTTCTAGACATTCGTCAGATATTGAAACTGAAGTCCTGACATTGTTCTCTCCAGGGCAGTGAAAGCTTTTAAAACAATTTACCTCTCTTCTTATACATTTTAAGGGTTTTCCACTATTTTTTTACATTTCAATGAGTCGATTTTATAAAGACCCCTTGGATTCATCCACACTTCTCTTCTGTTCGTCCAGCCATTCCTTCTTGTTCCAAGAACCCATTCTGGGCATATATTCCCTGCTTCAAAGAGAATTCCCCAGAAGGTCCTTTATAGGCAGTATCTTCGGCAAGCCATATCTCAATTTCTTTTGTTCTTTCTTTTTAGAACTCAAGCACTTAACCACCGAGTCACATCCCAAATCCTTTTCGTTATTATTACTTTGGGACAGGTCTTACTAAGTTGTTTAGGACCTTGCCAAGTTGCTGAGGTTGGCCTTGAACTTGTGATCCTCCTGCCTCAGTTTCCTGAGTCACTGGGATTATAGATGTGTGTCATCACATGAGGCTCAATTTTTTATTTAAAAAAAGTCATCGACTTCATTTTTTGTAACTTTGAGATATAATCTCATACACCAAAAGCATTCACCCTGTAGAAGTGAACAGGGTCATTCACAGGGTCGTGTGAACATCACTGCTATCTACTTCCAGGATGTTCTCACCACCCAAAGACACAGCCGACACCCCACCTAGGCCCCGCAGCACCAGTCTGCTGCCTGGCGTTCCATGCAAGTGCAGTCACACAGGGTGGCCTTCTGGGCACCGAGAGGCCCCTCTGCGACTTCACCCCAGCTCCGTGCGTGTCAGTGCTGCCTCCTTCACTGTCAGACAACACTCCGCATTGTTTCTCCAGCACCTGCTGGACGCCTGGGCCCCCCCACCTCTTGGCCGTCATGCATAACGCTTCTGTGCGCACTCACATACAGGTGTGTGGGACAGGCATTTCAGTCCCCTGTGTTCTAGTCGGCCTTTCCCCGCTATGGCCAAAAGACATGACAAGAACGACTCCGAGGAGGGGAAGCTTGTTTGGGCTCATGGTTTCAGAGGAGCCCACCATGGTCGGCCACCCTGTGGCTCTGGGCCCGAGGTGAGGCCGAACATCACAGTGGAAGAGTGTGGTAGAGGAAACCCCAGTCCACAACAGCAAGAGGCAGAGCTCTCACCCTCCAGGAGCAAAAGGTAAACCCCAAAGGCACCCCCCCTCCCCGGCCTGCCTACAGTTACCACCCAGTTCATCCATTCAAGTGGATTAATTCACTGACTGGGGCACAGATCTGCTAATCCAATCATTTCACCTCGAATGTTCTTTGTCTTACACATGAGCATTTTGGGGATCACCCGTTATATAAACCATAATATTCCACCACGGTCCTCAAAAGCTCATGCCCATCACACAATGCAAAATACAATTATTCCACTTCCAAGACCCCACAGTCTGACAGTTCCAGCATTGACAAAATCTATCTCCAAAATCTCATGAGACTCCAGGCCAACTCATGGATGTTCTCCTCTGTTAAAATCAAAACCAGCTACATGTATCCACATCATGGCACAGAGGAAACATTTCTACTCCACAAGGGAGAAGGAGGGGCGCAGAGAAAAGGGGTAAGACCAAAGCAAGACTGAAACCCAGCTGGGCCAACAAATCCCGTAGCTCCGCGTCCAACACCTGGAGATCCTGGCATCCGGAGGATCTCTCCACAGGGCTTGTGTAGCTCTACCCCGTGATCTTGCTGGTTGCAGCCCACGTGACCTCTCCGGTGGCTGACCTGTCTCATTCCTGCAGCTTTCCACAGCAGGGGTCCCTCATTACTGGCATCTCTTAGGCTCAGGGGTCTCCACAGCAGCTTCAACTTCCTTCTCCCATCTCCATGCACTGCCCTCTCAGGGGCTGCCTGCAGGGACTCCAACACTGCTACCTTGTCCCTGGCCTCTTTGGTCTTCCTGTTGAAATCTCAGTGGAAGTCCCCCTAAATCCAGCCTTCTGCAATCCTGCAAACCAGCACCATATGGCTGCCACCGAGGTCTCCCACCATCTCAAGCAGTAGCCAAGCCTCCTGGGACATGGCCGCAGCAGCATGAGTGCCTGGACAGCCGAGTGTGGTGAGACAGCTTCCTAGGCCACTGTGCAGGTGTGCTGCCTCGGTGGGTTCTTCTTAAAACAACTTTGACACCTGAGCCCGAGATGGATGTGGTCCTGCCAGTTTGTGAGATGCCTCAAGTCACCTTTCCTATGATGTCTGTGTGAAGTACTTAGCATCTCTTTAGTAGTTGTAATCTCTTCAACACCACCACCTTCTTTGGCCCTCGTTTTACACACATATTTATGTGTGCAAGTTTTTCAACTCTTTCTGCTCCCAATTATCACAGTACACTTGCTAAAAGCCACCAGCCATACCCATGCCACCCTCTGAATGCTGTGCTGCCTTGAATTTTCTCCTACCAAATTAATTAGCCCATTAACTTTGAATTCAGTTTCACATCAAGTCTCAGGACCTGAGCAAAACGTAGACAACTTTTTGGCAGAATGTAACATGAATGGCATCCAGTCCAGTTTCCAAGAGTCATCTTTCTCCTCCGAAACTTCATGAGCTCAGTCTTCACTGCCCACAGTCTTGTGGGCATTCTGGTCTCCTGAGCAACCTCCAGAATCACCCACTAAGCTCTAAGGCCTCTCCAGCCTGTACCTCCAAACTTTTCCACGTTTCTTCCACAAACCAGTTCAAAATGGTCAGGTTAGTCATGGCAATAAACCCATTTCTCGGTTATCAATTTCTGTTTTAGTCTGCTTTTCATTGCTGTGACCAAAAGACGTGGCAAGAACAACTTAGAAAAGAAGAAGTTTATTTTGGTTCATGGTTTTAGACATTCAGTCCATGACTGGCTGGCTCCATGACTCTGGGCCAGAGGTGAGACAGAACATTCCTGGTGGAAGAGCGTGGCAGAGGAAATTTATCAGTTCATGACAGCCAGGAGGAGAGAGGGCAGAGGCAAGCAGGTGCATGTGCCTCACTCACCAGGGACAGAGGTGAACCCCAAAGACATGGCCCCAGTGACCAACTTCCTCCCATCACACCACACCTGCCTCCAGTTACCACCCAGTTAATTCACTCAGGTGGATTAACCCAGTGACGATGAGCTTACGCCTCCAAAAACTGATCATTTCGCCTGTGAACCTTCTTACATCAGCTCACCCATGGGCTTTTGGGGAAGACTACTTATCCAAATCCTATCACCCCAGGGGTCTCCGCAGCACCTCAGGTGGTCATCTTGGAGGAACTGCTGGGTCACTCGTAGCATTTCTGAACAACAGTTTGCTAAAGACCCAGCTTTGTGCTGAGAGCTGTTTCTCAGACCCTGGCTTCCTCTCATTCACGGACTGCTGCCCTCTACTCTATGGTCTGCTCTCTCTCTGGTCTTCAGTGTCCTCTCAGCATGGGTTCATTCTGGTTCATACAACCTGGTATATTTTCTGGATTTCAATACCATCTTCCTTCTGTTCTTCATTCTCCCTGGGATCCACCTAGACTGCATGGATTCTCTCCCCTGAAGACTCTGCCTTGGATTCCTCTCCATCCCAAATCCTGGAGCATGGCCTCCCTGAGGTCAGAGCTGGGAACCTCAATTTCTCTCCTCCCAGGCCCAGCTCCCACAGGTAGACACAGGTAGACTGTACTAAGTTGCCCTGGCCTTCGCCCCTAGGTCAGGTGCCCTGGTGGGTAGGACCCTGCCCAGGAGCCCTGAAAGGGTGGAGTGGGMAGAGCTGCAATAGTTTTAGAAGGCAACCTTGGACTCTTCCCAGAAGAAGGACTGGGCACCATGTTCTGAGTCGGGTTTCATAAACCCCACGCACACGACTGTTGAACAGTGTGGGCAGAAGCAGGCCAGGTTCTGCTGGTCACCTATAATTCAAATCACCCTTGCATTTCTATTTGAAACTATTTTTTCTGCCTTTCAAAAACCGCAGATGTTGAGGCAAGCCCTGTGGGAAAGTCTTTCTCCAAGGACACCCGGGCCACACTTCCCAAACTGGTGCCTTCCTGAAAGAACAAGATGTCTGGGCTGAGGCTGAATTCAGTTTGCTTCTGAGGCTCCCCCAATAACTGAAGTAGGCTCCCAACTGTTCCCAGGAATGCCCCAAATGCCTGCCACCACTGTGGGAGCCTGGGTAGTGACTGCCAGAGTAGTGTGGGCCTGGGGACAGCATTTGGCGAGGACCCCACCCCAGAAATGGGCACTCTCAGGTGAACCATCTCTTAAGGTGAAATAGCATTGAAGCTGCCTTGGTCATAAATACAATTTATTTCATTAAAAATGCATAATTACAGTGTGTGGGAGAGCATCCCCCTAGAAAAGTAGGTAAGCAATCTTTCCATCAAAACCGCTAGCCGTCTCTTGCAAACATGTCTCCATGGCGCTGAAAAGAGCACACAGCAAAAGCCTTCTGTTACGCCACTGTTTTTCTTTTTTTTTTTTTTTTTCCAATTTTCTTTTTTGTTATAAACACCATAGCAAATTAAAAAAAGCTGTTTAAACAAAACATCGTCATTCTTGACTTTCCAAGTGTGCTCAACGTGTTCGGTGCTGTGCTCCCCTTCCCGACCCAGCAGCATGACTCAAACCAGGGCCCTCTTGGCAGGGACAGCCAGGGCACCCTGTGCAGGAGGAGGCTTTTGGATGCGCCGCAGAGAATCCGCACAGTCGCTTCCAGGTCAGAGTGAGAACAGGGCATGTGGAGACCAAGGCTGTCGGCTGAGCCAGGCCAGTGCAGTCCTGCTGTGATGGTCCCTCCTGCCTCACTGTATCTGGATTGCTCCATGTTCAAGCTGCATTTCAGGCTGCAGGGTGGGCTGCAGGGTCTCGGCCGTCTGCAAGAAGAACAAAGGAGGACTTTCCTAGAAAAATGTCCACTAGCACAGGTTCCAGCAGCTCCCTTGTCAAAAAGCAGCTGAGGACCTTCACCCACAGCGTGGACCACACTCAGGCAGAGCTCCAAAGAGCTCCAGCATCGCCATCATCCCGACTTGAGTGAAACACCCAGAACACATCAGCACTTGGCAGCAACAATGACAGACCCGGCCCATCCCACCTCTCCTGCACACGCCCTCGGGACACGGTGGCTACAGCCAATTCCCCATCTGCTTGTCCTGGGTGTACTGGGGAATAAATAGGATTAATTAATGTGCATACTTAGCTGGACACATTTACCTAGAGCCTCAGGTACGACAAACTGCTCTCCAACGTTTCAGAAAAGCACTTCAGACAAAGCTACATCAAGGACCTGTGCACATGTCACAGCTTTGTCTGAAGATAAGGAAGATTCACCCTATCAGTGACTTAAGTCTTCCCTATCAGTGCCCAGAGCACACTCTAGTGGAGTAAACCACCAGGCTTCTGTGTGCACCCAAAGGTGCAGCTGAAGGAGACAGGACAAGCCAAAGCACCACCAGAAGGCCAAAGTCCCCAGGGGAGCTGGCACGAGAACTCCTACCACAGTCTAAGGCTGCACTTTCCAAAGACTTGTGACACTCAATATGCTGTTCCCTTAAAAGAGGGAGGGACTTCTACTTTAGGAGGAAGGACCCAGCACAGCTATCACCCATTCTGTCAGCAGAAGCCCTACGTGGCTGGGCAGGAATCATGAAAGGAACAAGCCTGCGTCAGAGGCCAGGCGATGCCCCACAAGTTTCTGCAGAACTTTAGGGTGCTGATGAGGCAGGGGACTGAAAATCTTTCCATTGGGAAGCCACCTGCCCCAAAGCCCACAGGCAGAGACACTGCGGGCAGAGGTAGCTGAGCTACCCAAGGAAGCACTGAAAGAATGTGGAGGGACTGTAGTAGCTGCAGGATACCAAGGGAACCCAGCACGCCGGAACTGAGGGGCCTCCCCACCAGGTGGGCCACAGAGAGCTGCTATGGGTTCTCCTCCCGACACTCCCTCCCAGGGGGGTGCTTTGTCACACCTTACATTCCTTCTCGGTTTATCTCCAGTGGGCTCAGCCTTGGGGTAAAAGCTGACCACCCTGCCCAGCGTCTGGCTGTGCTCCCATGGCGCGGCCATGAGGCCTAGTGGCAAGCAGCCACTTCACTGGAACCCATGTTCTCAGACTCAGCCCACTGCAGGCTTGCTGTGAACTGGGAGACTCATGAGACCGAGTGCTGAGGTCACTAGGGTACTGCCAAGACCCTCAGCTCCAGAGCCTGAACACCAGGCTGACCTTGGGCCACCTGCTTGGATCTGCTGAGCCCTACTTCTTCAGCAACTGCCTCAGAGGAGGATCTGCTCTCCCCAGGGCTCAGGGCAAACATCCAGCATAGGCCCTAAGAAGTCTGAGGCTTTAGCTGTAGACACCCATGGTCACAGTGAGACACAAGTAGATCATTATTAGCTCTGGAACAGAGAGAGAGGAGGGGAACAGACCCACCAACTGCGACCAGAATTTGCAGAAGGGCTGGGCAGGCTGGAGGCAGAGCTTAGACATGTTTCTAAAGTGAAGGATAAGAGGTTTGCCTGACGACCTGTGGTCAAATCAAATAAAGCCCCTCAAATGGGAACAGCTCAGCCTCAGTGAGGCCAGTGGTCTAAGCTCCAGCCCCAGCATCGGGGCTCCTGCGTGGTTTCAGATGCAGGCAATAGCACAGTAGCCTGTTTGCTCTGGCAGACTCCTGGCCCTCTTAGAACTAACTGGTGGTCATTCTCATAGCAGCAGGTATATACCCTAACCTCAGAGCTAGTTCCAACACACCCAGCCGGCTGCGAAGGTGAGAGTGAAGCTAGGAGCTCAGGCTTCCCACTGGTGGTTCCCACCGGTCCCTGAGACAGGTGCGGGTGGGGGGACAACCCAGCACCTGCCCAGGCAGCACTGTGGCCCCTCCAATGTCCACAGCAGTGAGCCTTCACCAGCATTCCCAAAGGTGCCCATACTGGGTTGGGTGCTGCAGTTTCCAGCTTCCAGGAGAAGCCTGAGCATGGCCAGCCAGGGCAGAGCCCAATTCTGCACAGCAGATGACCAGAGCCTGTACTGAGCAGGTCCCCAGCACCAGGGGAAGGGGGAGCCCCCGGAGCTCTACAGAGGGTTGCAGGCCCTGGATGAAGGTGTGCTGAGGCAGGCGTGGTGCAGATATGGGGCCACCCCAGGCCTTCTGCGTTCCTATCACCAGCCAGAGGCAAGCTCTCTGTCCACCTGCCCCTGAGAAACAGGCTGGGACTGGCTGGGCTCATAAGCACTCACAGCCCATGGACCGCAGGAGGACTGACCTGGCATTCTGCCCCACAGAGGTGTGACCCTTGACAGGAGGGGCAGTGGGCTCTCAGGAGAATGGGGACCTGGGCCTTGGGCCCCAGAAGTGAACTCTGAGGAGGAGAAAATAGGGCAGAACTTCATTTTTGCTTCTGAATTCTGATAAGCCTTTCCTCATCTCAAGTATCACTTTAAATCTGGATCTGGGCCAGGTCTAACCTCTCACCTCCAGGTTTCCAAGCACTTATAAAAACAGAATCCCTAAGGTGTCTTCGTCTGAGCTGTGAGCCTTTCAGTCGTAATCTACCTCCCTCCAGGAAAAAGTCAGACAGAAAGCCTCTAAGCCACGTGAGCTCTGAGGAAGCCGGCAGCCGGGCCGTCCATAGGAGGGCATCCTTTCCAGAGGGACGCCAGACTTACCTGTGCTGTGGCCGTGTGGTCACTCACTGGTGCCAGCTGGACGTACTGCACCTGGATATCACTACCCTGGAGAGGTGACCCGTCCACTCCGGCTGCGGCAGGGTCTGAGGAGGCCACGGCAATCAGCTGAGCACCCTGAAGGACCTGGAGGGACAAAGTTGGATAGAGCCAGGCTCATTAGTACAGCATGACCAGCAGAGCTGCAGACGACACCTTCTTCCAGACCAGGACAAGGGTGGCCCCAGGCCCACACAGTGTCCCATGCTAGCTCACGGTCCATGTTTAAGCAGCATTTGGCCAGGTGGGCAGAGCAGCATTGAGCGTGCCCAGGTGCAGCCAAGCCCACCTGACATGCTCATGCCCGCCTCCCACAGACGGCCCCCTAGGCAGGACTTTAAAGTCTCGCGTAAAGAGTAAGCTATGGGGGCTGGGGATGTGGCTCAAGTGGCAGCGCGCTCGCCTGGCATGCGTGCGGCCYGGGTTTGATCCTCAGCACCACATACAAAGATGTTGTGTCCGCCAAAATCTAAAAAATAAATATTAAAAAATTCTCTTTCTCTCTCTCTCTTAAAAAAAAAAAAAAAAAAAAAAGAGTAAGCTAAGGCTTCCAGTCTGCCAGCCAAGGGACCTGCTGAGGGTGTTCCTGGGAATGTCGGCACTGATCAGGAGCCCACGCAGGACCTGATAGGCAAGTGCAGGCAACACAGCAGAAAGAAGTGTGAGCTTAAAACTCAGATCCTCGAGATCATGTGCAGCAAAGCATATGCCAGCAAGAGCTCTGGCTGCAAAGGACAAAAGCAGAGAGGAACCTCTGGGGAAGGTAGTTGAGACCAGAGGCCCAGGGGTAGCCGGCAACAGCACAGTCCCCTCTGCCCCCATCGGTTGCTTCCCTCTGCCCTCCTGACCCTACACAACCAAAGTGCATACCTGGGATGTGCCCAGGAGGCAACAGGGTGATCTCATCGCACCAGCACCCCGCACTGGGGTCCACTTTCTGAGGGGACCGCCTGGTGCTCAGGCAGCTGAGCAGATAGCCCCAATCAGGATGGCCCAGAGCAGGCAGGATTGGCTTCTGTCTCCAATGGCATTGGACATGCACAAGCCCAAGTGGCCAGGAGCCATGGAGTCTTTACATAGGTCCCACCCTGAGAGAGCCGAGATTCACCCTCAACTCCTACACACAATCTCAGCTTGTGCACCTGTGCAGAAGACCCCTCACACAGAGCCTGTCCCCAGGAGGCAGCAGACTAACACAGCCCAAGAACCCAGGAGCAGCTGCACCTTCAGACACACCCCAGTGTGCTCCTGAACCATGCTGCTGGAGGGCAGGCCCACACCAGCACACGCTTGCTCCTCAGTCCAGGCCAGGGCTGGCAGAGCAGGGCCACACACCAGGCCCACCACTTGATTCTGCACCATAGTGGTCCGGCTTCCCATGGTTCTGAAAAGCCTTTGTAAATGGAGTGATGGGAAAAGAATCAGAAGAATGCCCTGTGACATGCCTGCCATAGTTTGTTGTGGCTTGTCTCCTCCAAAACGCCCCTGCAACCTGCTGCCCTTTCAGGAAGTTGCCCACCATTCTGCTTCTGGCCCAGTGCTATTCACAGAGAGAGGCCCAGGAGACAAACCAGCCTCATGCCCAGCCCCCATGACCACTGCTCCAAACCCAGCCCCTCACTGCTATCTGAGGCTCCAGCAAATGAGGGGGTGTGGGCTTCTCCTCAGCCTCATGTCCTGCCAGCCATTCCACTGGCCACAGCCATTACTGAAAAGCAAAGGCTTGGGGACAAGTGGCACAGGGCTGCAGGACCAGAGGGACAGTCTGGCAACACTCTGCCTCCCTCTCTCTCCATGAGCTGTGTGTCCATCTCTAACTACACAGGAAAATGGTTCACCTACATGACTAGAACTCAAGCAAAAGCACTCAACAAAAATGTGCCTGGTACCTCCACCCAGAATGCACCTGCTGCCACAGTGTGCCCAACAGCAGCCTGGCACTGCCCGCCATCTGTCCCCCAAAGGAGCAGTAGGCAGAGCCAAGGTGCACACTCGGTGGGTAACAAACAGGCAAGTGCCTTAGATAGGGCTCGGCCCCTCCTGGGAGGAAAGAGAGCAAACACAACAACCCAGTGTTTTCACAGAATCCATCAACAAAAACATCTAGGTCCCTTCTTCCGGTTTGTATTACTGGATAGAGTTTTATTATTTCTGCCTCAGAGCTATGCTTTTCTAGGCAATGTGGTTCTGCTTTACCTAAGCAGCTCAGTTTAAAATAAAACAGGATTTCAGGAAAAAGCAGAGCTCTTATTTTGGGGGCGGGGCTTTGGTGTCAGGGAGACTAGCCCTAGTTGCTGGGACTCTCCTGCTCCTGCTCCTGGGCCCAGGGCCACAGAGGCTGCTCCATCTGCAGACACACAGCTGAGGATTGAGGGGCGAGACAGTGCCAGAATGGCTGCCCATTGTAACCACAACCTCGGAGGTTAGGGACATTCCCTAGATATTTATTTCCCATTAGTAGATGGATTGGACAGTTCTGCTTCATAATTTCATCTTGAATCCTTAAAGTCCTCTGTTTTGGCTAAGATCCCTTTACATGAGGAGTGTTCCTAAGTTCTCTTCTCCCTGTCCCAGGCCGATGTCGTCTGGCTCTCGGCAGTGGCTTAGCGGCCATGGCAGTGCTGCCGGGGAAGCCCTGCTGGGGAAGCCCTGCCAGCTGCTCCTGGCCGCATCCTCCAGGTCCCCGCTCACACTGGACCTTCTTCAGCAGTGGGGCAGCAGGCCCACATCCCCTTCCAGCCCGTGTGCTCCAAGCTGAGTGGTTGGCCCAGGACGGATGGGCCCAAGTCCATCAGGGAGGCAGATGCACAGGCCCTGCCCAAGAGGGGGTGCTACACAAAAGGCAGGGCAAGGGGGCTCCACCAGGGACACTATTGTTTGGTGTCCTGTTGAGACCCCAGGATCACTGTTGGGGCATCTGGACCTGCATGGGGTGCTCTCAAGAACAGCAGCAGGTGGGGCGGGGGGAGGGGGAGGGGACACTAGAGGGAGAGAAAGTGAGTCTTAAGGGCCTGACAGAGGGCGCTAGGAGCCAGAGATCGTACTGGAAAGATAGCTAGCGGTCAGCGGGTCTGGGCTGCAGAGAGTCCAGAGCTCCAGTATAGAAGCCATGGGGCCTGGGCAAGGCAAGGACAGCCGAAATCTTGCGGAGTCAGTAACCGTGCTGCCCATGACTGACTCTTCAACCGGCCTGACTGCTTGTCCAGCAAATGCCCCCTCGTGGTTCAGAATCAGCAAGTTAGGCGCTACCCCACACAGTCCTTGCAGGCCTGCTTCCCAACTGCCAAGCAACCGACAACCTTCAGGACTGCAGCCCTGAGAGCAGGGCAGTCGGCCATCCAGCCGCAGAGGCAGCCTCAGGGGCAGCAGGGACAGTGTGCTCAGCCTGCATGCAAGGGCCGGGTGTCAATGGGCACAACCAGCCATCTGGCCTCCTGGGTCTCACTGTCTGGCTGCCCTGCAGACACACCTAGTATCAGGAGGGGGCCCAGGGCAAAAAGGGTTCAGAAAGGTCTGCTTACTAATTATTTGTCAACTATGCCCTCACACATGCTTCTGCACACCTGCTGACGCAGACCCTCCACCCCGTGGCTCTGCCACACTTCCACACCCCACCTCCAGCATCTCTGACCCCAGGCCTGTGCTCAGCCCCCAGACCGCTCTGGTAACTCCCCTAATGTGCTGCTGTGAGGCTGAGCTCTGCAGAGTGCTTGTTATTTACCTTGTCTCAGGCTCTGGGGACCAGGACCCTGTGACCCGGCACTTATTCATGCATGGCAAATGGAAAATCCTTGGAAGACACTGGCCAGATAAGAAAAACTTGCAAACCTGGATCACCTTGTTTCTAATGGCAGTATCAAGTGTGGCCTATCCCCAGAGGCCAAGGCTGGGAAAGATCAACCTAGGCCCACTGAGTCATGGGTGACGTAGGGATGGGATTCTGGTCAGAGCTTGTGCCAGGGAAGCTCATGGCTCACAACCAGAAAGACCAGAATGGGACAGGCAGAGGCTAAGGAATGGGTAGAGACTTTTCAGAACCACACAGACAGAGCCTTTGGGTGGGTGGGTGGAGGAGGCAGAAGGAAGGGAGTGTGCCAAGACGCTCTAGCCAGCACCTTGCGGCCACCAACTCCACCTGGCTGGTTAAGTCCAGCACCAACTTAGAAAAGTTCATACAACTTAAAATTCCAATCTAAAGTATTAGGTATTAGAGCATAGTTAAGATTGTGCAATTATTTCACATTTTAAAACAGCCTTCAGCAAACATGTTTGAGATCAAATTGTAACTACTTTTAATGAATGACTGGAATCAGGCAGTTTGTCTCTGGTCCTGACCACGTCACTCAGAGATGGTCCTCAGGACTTCCCACAGCAAGCCCCATGAACATGGCCAAAAAGTGACTTCCACATGGTCCACACAGCCAGTTAAAACTGAACAACTGTAAGGTCTGAAAACTCAAGACTCTAAATTTGCAGACTAGAGTGACTGGTAAATGAAAGAAAGGAAAATGTTCTTAACTGGGAATGGATTCCAGAAGTCACGACCTTCAGCATCTCCACTGTTTGGTTCTGGTGAGTGCTATAGTAAAGGACAACACCCTCCATATGCATAGGACTGATGGCTCCCCTCTGCTGCACCACCAGGCCATGTAGGGAGAGGCCTGGGGAAGACTTGTGGATATTAAGAATGACCCCAAGTGGGAAGGAGAGGCCTGGTGGCCATCTGCTGTGGTCACACACACTCACGGTGGGCTGTGTCAGGAGTCCGAGTCCAGCAACCTGCCTGCTATTTGAGGGTACAACCAGACACGGAGCTGCAGTCGCAGCCTCTCCCCAGCTCTTGTGCTCAATTTGTGAACTCCCATGTGTCCTGGAGCTGGCGAGAACTGGGGCATGCTGGGAGTGCCAGTCCATGCCTAACACACTCCCACCCCAGTGCCTGCAGCTTGTTGGAGCAGGGTGGGCCCAACCTAAGGAAGTGTCCTTCCCAGAAGAGGAAAACATGGACAGAAACCACAAGGCCCACAGCACCACCGAGACTGGGCTGTTGCGGCCACAAGCCAGGGAATACCAAGGAGGTGGGAAGG